TAATAATACATATTTGTTTCACGCAAAATGGAATTTTTACTTGTAAACATTTAACGCTCATTTATGCGCATATAAAAAAAGATTTGCATTAAATTAGACGTATATGCTTGCTGGCTAAAAAAACATGATCAGATAGTGCCGACTTCTTGCCACGAAACAGTGATTTATTTGCGATAAAATAGACGAGTCATATTATAAATACGGAAAGAGACTACTTTGAAATTTTATCATATTTTAGCATGTGAGTTATATGTATATCACGTTATCGAATAAAGACCAAAAGTATTTCATATGGAAATCCGAAAATGTAAATAGCTCGTAGCTCGTGTCAACGTGTCCAAAAAGGAGCTCGCGGGCAACTTTCACAAAAGCCGTAATTGAATCCCTGGCTAGAAAACCCGAGCGTGATAAAAGCTGAGAGCGTCAAAAAAAGAGTTCGCGCGGGCACGAAGAAGTCGAAGGACCCGGTACATGTATATTCACTTGTGTGAGCGTTGTAAATTTTTATATTAAAAGATACAACTCTCTCTCTTCTCCGTGTCTGGCATGGTGCTTTCAGCTGTGTGACGCATGCGTGCATGACAGGGAGTGTGTCAGCGCGCTTCGTGCCGTCGCGTCGCGTCGGTTTCCCCTGTCAAGGGACGGAAACGAAGAGGCCTCGTCAGCGGCGCGTCTCCGCTTTAATATTAATTGTCCCGGCCGTTAATTAATAGTCCCTTCATTAATGCAATTTATAACCCCCCCCCCCCCCTCTTTCGCGCGTAACGAGAGCCGGGTGTAGACGTGCATCTCTGCTCTTTTTCTAACCACAGCTATTTTTCACTCTTACGCTACACACTCGGCATATGAGACGATAATATCATCTCGTTGTTTGTCACATAATGAAGTTATCATTTCAATTTTTTCGCTAAGTATGTCGTCATTGCAGTTAATTTTTTAATTGATGCAATTCCTCAATTAAAATTAGATAACTTTATTTTAGATTATTTCTGTAAAGATTTACCATGCATGTAATGTTACGGCGATTTTTTTATTTGTTGAAAACTGAAGTGACATTTTTTAAATAAAAAATATCAAAGATGATAAATAGCTTTGAGTTGTAATTGATTAAAGAAAAGAAGAAAGATTTTGATGAATTGCTCTTTAAAAGATACGAATGCATAATAAAATTTTATTTTTTAATTAACTCGAAGTTTTTTCGCGTATATATTTGAACAGAGTTTCGAGTTAAAGCATAAAACTTTCCAATAAAATTACTAAGTTATTCCAGAACTTTAGAAATTGCGAGATTGCTAAATTTTAGTTTATTTGAAAAATCGTTGTTTTCAATCAGGAATATTGCCTTAATCACCAAATGCGTCTATTGTTAAACATCCTTATGAATGTATGCCATTATTCACTCTAGAAATCCGAGACTGCGGTCGATAGAATCCTGACTCATCATTATTTGTAGCCACGGTAAAATTGTATCGATTTCCCATTCACCTCAACTATCATCCTCCATTACCGAGTTGAGTTAAATAAGTTGGACGAATCCATTTCTGACACTGTTTTTGAACTGCATCGCGGTGCGCATGCAACGTCGAAATATCGAGTTATTTTCTCGCCGGGCGAACCGATCGACTTTACGCGCCAGCGCGCTTGCTCGGCATTCTGCGAGGATCCCGGCAGGATAGATGGTGTTTTCTTTGCGTTTCCTACAATATCGGACTAACAGAGAAGGCGTACGACGAGAGAGAGAGAGAGAGAGAGGGAGGGAGATATCCTCTAACCGCAGTATCAGAGACGCAGGTCATCCGGGTTACTGTCATTCCCGATGAAAGTCGCCGATGTGAAAGCGCTAGGAATCAACCGAGGGATGAACTATACTAGGGTATGTCGATAAATGTGGTATAACAGTCACCCAGAGAAAGTTACGGGATGGCGAAAGGTAAATTGGAATGCGCCCTAAAATGTCGCATGGCGAAGACGACATTGGATTTCCTTTTCGTAGTAGGTAGGAAAGTGCATTAAATTTTATGTGTCGCGATCTTTAACACAGTTAAGCGAATAAACAATTATTTCTACTATTTATACAAAGAAAAATAGCGAGTATTATTCTTTCATTAAAAAGTTTCATTTTGCACCTTCTTTACGTGTGAAAAATAATTACATGTTATTTTTTAAAATAATTACTCACAGAAAGTTAAACGTGCGAAGAAAGTAAAAGGAATTTATATATATATATATTCTTTTTACCTCTTTTACAATGTTATATTTGAAATTTAATTTTTTCTCTTGAGTATCTCTCTCTCTCTCTCTCTCTCTCTCTCTCTCTCTCTCTTCGCGTCTAAAAAGCAATATCTTTCTCCTTGAAAATAAATTGTCGCACCGCTTTGAAAACAGGGGCTCTGACAAGGCAATGCGCAAGTACATCGATGATGCTTCAAAAACTTGATGTAATAATGAAAAATTCTCAATTATTGTTTTTATAATAGGAAAAATCTGAAAATCAAGCGGAACAATTTCGGTCAAGCAACGGGCTTCCATTTCAACGTACTTCTGTCGTATCGTCGTATCTGATCTCTTAAATCATTTCCTTCTCATTGTTTCTCCGCCGCACAGTCGTCGTAACTATCATATATGAAATTACGTCGCGATCGACTTATAACTTCCATTCGCCGTGGATTTTACGCGCTAGCTACATTCTTGACCCACATAAAATTCCACCGATCGAGATATTGCTTGCACACACACACGCGCGCGCGCACACACACACATTTACACATTACATATACCGCAAGAATTATTACTTACGATCGTCCATATAGCATCGATACATATCCGAACCGTAACCGATTCTCGAGATATAATATTACTTATTCGCATATTTTTAAATGCACTTTAAATTGCTCTTTAAATTTATCACGTGGTTTTCCGGGGGAGAAATATAGCGAAATTAAAATAAGCGATTTTTTTCATTAAAAAAAAATGAAAACCGATTTTGTACGAGGGAGAAAAAGAGGAGGGAGATGCGAATAAATGTCGCAACGCTGACGTAAAAATTTCCGATGTGGCGAATGTTTGATGCCGGGCGAAGTCTCGTTTGCAAATATTTATATTTCGTTTGAAGGGAGAGAAGTGGAAAGAGGAAGGGAATTTGCCATGCATGGACTGGACATTCTCGATGAAAACAGCGAAACTCTTTCGGCATTTGCGTTTATTTCTCACCTTCCACAACGTATAATATTTTTCCGACAATTCCAAGGTAAATAGCAGGAATTTCAATTAAATTAAAAAGTTTTGATTTATAGCGAAAATAACAAGCTATCTCTTAATTAACGTTTAGTTTATTATTTCTGTCGCGAAAAATACTCGTTGATTTGTAATCGTTTACACTTTACACGATAATTGGAAAGCCTCTGATTAACAACATATGTTAATTTGCTTCTGAATAACTGATATTCATGTACATGGTCAGTAGTAACATTATTACCGTCGTCATTAATAATATTGAGTGCATCTATGCGCTCCACATATATATTCATAACTGGAGCAAATCTTTTTTAACGTAGGCGTGCTCGTTACACCGGCATACACGTGAAAAACAAGATAGCGCGCGAATCATTATAGATTGTTCGCCGATATGGGGAGCAGTGATGTTACGGCCGGCGCGGGCGCGGCGCGGAATCACCGGATGGCAATCAGCGAAATCAAATAAACCCGCACACGCGGCACGAGAAGAAATCAACGTCGAATAATGATCCATCGATGCGGGTGGTTTGTGAAACGGTTAAAATCAACCAACGCGACGCGAGGCTCGCTCAACAAGTATCGCAAATCCCATTTTCCTGACTGCTCGTCCTACTACTTCACGCGCTTCCTCGCGATTATATTTAGTACACTTTAACTCAATCAATACCTTAATCACAATCTTGCGCGCGCTTTTCTCGTAAAAAAGAATCGTAAACGCCGAAGTAATCGTCGCGAATCGTAATCTCCAATTCATCGATTCATTTATTTGTTCTTTTATATTCGCACGAAAGGCACAAAAACATTCGTAATGCTATTAACCAAGGACATCGAGATTTGCAGGGTATATTCAGTGATAATAAAAATGAAAGGACAAATAGATAAAAGTTGATGAATCGTCTCAGACCGATATGGCAAGTTAAAGAATAATTTCGCTGGATTATTTCTCGCGTTGCAGCTCCTCTTTTTTTCGCTTTACCATGGAATTAAGCGTTGGTATTTTCCCCGGGGGGCTAACGTGCGAGAATAAATTCGCGAGACCTTTCGACATTTATGCGGAAATGCTCACTCCTCCGCGAACGAGTCGGTTTAACTCTTCATCCCTGCGCGCCGAAGTTGATATGCAAAGTAGAACGCTCGCGTGCAAAGTGGAACACCACTCGGTGAACTTCTATATCTGATGGCAAGAACGCTCGTGCTGCGAGATAATATCTTTATATGCGGGAATTTCAAGTGAACTATACGCCATAGTAAACGTGAAACGCGAATGTCTTCTCTCTAATCAAAAGGATTTTGTGTCCCTTAATGTGCATTCATCTGAAATGCGTTTCAATAGAATTTAACAACATAATCAACATGAAAATTCTGAGCAACAAATAACAACGGTAAAAAAGGAAGTAATGAATTAATAAATCCTTTTTTTAACATTAAACTTTTTAATTAAATCTTGACGAAATTAATTCCATCTTTTAAATATAAATCAATCTCGTCGATAATATAATTCATTAGAAATTCCAGCATGAAAGTAATGTAGGAGCTGAATGTATGCGTGCATGTATGTACGTGTGTGGTATGTGTGTGGGTGGGAAACCGATAAACATGTATATCGCGAGCGGCGATTAATCGGCGGTTGCAAGAGTGAAGAGAAGATACGCCGGTCTTTTGTTCGATCGTGTTATGTCTTCGAGAGAGCGAAGCGTCTGCGAAGCCGACTGCGCGGCGCGCTAGTAGTGCGAGTCACAGACCACACTAGTACAGTCAGTTGATGACAGAGGATTGCCGGAAAAGGTATCATGCCCCTTGACTAAAAATTAGGTATATTTTATTTCAATGTGCACAGATAGCCGAGTTATCGCAATCAATTTTTAGGAGTGTTCCACATTTATTTTACTGTATGTTGGACTGTATATTTTGTAGTGAATCAAGAAATCGGTGCTACATCACACGGCCGCGGCCGTTGCATATTTGTTTTTTCTGCGTACTGTTGCGCGCACTCGGTCGACATCGACGCCCTATCACTCGCTCACTGTGACTCGAGCGGGCAGGTATATAGCTCTGTGAGTATTATTTCTCGAAACGCAATCGCGACAAGTATCGTACGATTTCAAATGCTATTAACCTGCGCGATTAACTGATTTCCACGATTATCGTGATAACCTCATCATGAGCACATCGAGGTTACGACTTTAAAGCGTCGTCTACAATGGCAGCAGGAGTATGCAGTAAGACATAACCAGTGAGCTATATTGACCAACCACAGTCGGCACAGTCGACACATTATTCTTGAATTGTAAAAATTCCATTAGTTAATAACTTCGTCTTACTGCATACTCTTGCGGCTATTGTAGACGAACCATAACGTTGCATCTTGTGGCATATATTTTACTCAATTTATTCATCTGTCCACTGTTTTCTAATTGGAAAATATGTGAAATAATCAGTGAACTATATACTATACTGGAATGTGAACTCCCATGCTAGCGCCCGGGCCACGGGAAGAAAAAGACAGAATGGTTGCTTTGCGACTCTGTCTCTCTCTCTGTTTATTTAGTTATTTAGTATATGTATAGTTCACTAGGAATAATACATCTGAATTGTCGATTTAAGTGGCTTAAATGATCGAAAGCGGTGCGAGATATCAATATATCAATTCACTAATAATAAATAATCGCGTGCTGTTAATTGAAAGTATCGTTCAAAGTGCGATTGTTATATTCCAATGATTAATGCACGTGCAATCGTAATTAAAAAAAAAATTTATTTTGCAAGTACTGTTTGCCACAACAAAGGAGCCTGAGAAAAGGAGAAGGAGGAAATATTAGAAGAATCGGACGACGCAACCACAGAGACATCACGAAATAAGTAATTTATTTATTATTTTATTATCACGTACGAATTAAATAATCGCAAATAATTATTTTATACACGCAATATTATTTATTGAAAGATTCATTATTTTTAATTATGCACGCGTATTACAATTTGAATATGTTTATGTACTAATATATCAATGTAATTTATATTTGAACTCCGTATATGAGTTAAATTGTTTTATTTTAATTTAAAGAGTAATGGATCTGTGAAACTAATAAATAGATGTATATTACTTTAAAATGTAAGCTAAAGGAGACCAGTATTAATATTTAATCCTAGATTAAGCGTAATAGCTTATTGTGCACTCGCATTCTCACATGAAGCTAAAATGAAATTCATTATATTAACGCATTGTTTATTACGATTCTCAAAAGCGAACAATTAATCCTTATCGATTAATAGTTTAATTAGGGAGATCTCTATACTTTTCGTGTCTTTACATTTTTTAAGTGTCCGATCATCTGAAATCTTCCAACCTCACTATGAAGTTTGCGCCGATTCAGCGCGAGATCCGCTTGCCCACAAAGAGAATCTCATACATCGAACCTCCGCACGTTATACTCTGTTCTGACTCTAAAATTACCCCTGAAGAGATGATAATGACGGCCATTTGTTGGACACTAGGAACACGACCAACGGAGATGCCCGTGCGCCAGGTGCACATGACACCTGAGCTAGCAAAAGCAGTAGAAATGGCTACTAATATGATTCACTCTGATCAGATCTTAGTCTTTCTTGGCATGGCAGGACTGATGACTATCGTCAAAAGGATCGTCAGATCGTCACTACTTTGGAATGATGAATATCATGATTTTCGTGAATATCTCATCAATAGATGGCAAGATGTTTGTAGCACAACCGAAATAGAAAACATCTTTACATCGGATGTAGTTTTTCTGGGCCGAGTACTACGAGTCATGACCTTTATTAACACATTAGAGATTTGGCAGATTTGGATTGAATCGAGACCTGCACTCTCCAGAAACCTCCTTGTTGCCGCCCTGGACCTTCCGGAAGGATCTCCTATGCTTGTGAAAACTGCGATGGCTAAAGTAAAAATAGAGATTCAATATTTCGGTATGGAGATGATACTAAAGATGGATGCCTTCGTGTCTTCACAAAATATAAATGTAAATAAAGCCATCTTCGTCCCGGATATCGCACAACAAGCTGCGGATCTCAGAGAAGCTATGGACGAGTTACGCATAAGATATGGAGATCGTTTCCCATATTTGAAAATTTACAGGCTCGAAGGAACAGATCGCCTCAATTATAAGAAATACCCAGATCTTTTCTATGCAGTTATTGCCACCGAAGTTGCCAACAATAGCATAAGCCTTGATAGCGTAAAGGATATTTTAATGGATTTGCAGACTCGTACCGCTAGACATATCATAGATGCTGAAGTAAAGAAAACGCTGAAATCCGAGATGGTTGATAAAGTAACTACCGCCAATCTCCGTTTCCTTAATATTGACCCGCGTCTTGAGCCGCGTTCCTTTTGTCAGCGTCGAGAAGAAAATGATTATGAAATGCTTAGTATTGAAGGGCCAAAAGATTAAATAAATGCAGAAACTTATTAACGTCTTATTGTACGATAAAATATCAACTAATTGCGAGATATATCAGTTGCTCGAAATTTATAGGACAATCTCATAAGTATGAATAATAAAAATAACAGAAAATGTCAGAGCAATCAGCCAGAGCGATTATTTATTTTTGCATAAGTTTGATGGAAAGTAATAAATGATGATAGGATGATTTTCGCGAAAGAGATATTATGTCTCCAAATTTATAGTAAGAATATTATCTTTTACACTTTTTACCAAGCATGATCTTTTACATATAGACAAGATTTTCAGGAAATTTGAAATGCCATGAAGGTATGATATATTAATGACATTATTTGGACAATTTTAGTATCAAATGCATTATAATAGATTAAATTTCACTGTGCATTTTAATTAACGAGCCTTTTACTTAGATAAATATTTAAAAAAGAAAAAAATAAGTAAAATAGAACCATAACAAGTAGTAATATTTTTAATACGTGATACTTTTATCTAAACTATTTCATGGTGTTTTTATTTTATGGACGATGAAAATTGGAATAAGATATTTATGTATTCTATAAATGTTTATGTCAAATGAGAAAATAAATCAGTACCTATCATTTTACATTAAACGCTTTATTAAGAAAAAACGATTAATATTTAAATATATTACTCTAGTTTATTTTTTTTACGTTTTTAAAACTATATATTTAATGAAACATTTAATAAAAGTTAAAACCTTTTTTTTTATCAATACAATGGATATTTAAAAAAGTATGATGTTTCGGAAACATTAATATCGTGCGAGATTTATAAAATACAATTACAGTGACGGGCGCATTAGCGAGAGCGTAGCTCCAGTGTTATGTAGCTGCATTGCCATCACACTGAAGAACGTGATAGAACCTTGCCGCTCATTCATTTTCCGACCTCAGAAGGATCAATGTCACTTATTAATGAGCGTACTTTATACCCGTCACCCGTGACCAAGTTTTGAAGCACTTTGAAGATCGCGATTTCTCCAACGCTCCCGCGTGAAAAATGCACGACGCTCGGCGAGGAAAAAATATCCTTCGTAAAGCTCGGGCAATACCGACTGCATGACTGTAATATCTTGTAGCTAGATAACTTCCCACGTCGAAAACTTTCGCGGCGAACTTTTTCCTGATTGCGGACTACGCCGCGCCTGTATAACTCCTCTCTTCCTAGACCGTCTACCGAAACCGCGTCAAAGGACGTTAATTCGCTGTTATTTTCTCAAACTCGTTTCGCTGAGCGAGCCCAAGTTCCAAAACGACTTGCATTGTCACGCTTCGGCGATAACCACGAGGAAAGGATTATTAACGACTGAGTTGCCGTCTTAATAAGAAAGCGACGAAAGGCTCGCGATATCTTCCAAGAGAGAGAGACTGGTGAATTTTTAATAACTAATTTTACGATGTTGCACACGCTTTGGGTGATAGCATTGATTAATATTCAAATTTGCTAAACGAGAAAATGAGAATATTCTTTTATAAGAGCCGTGATTATAATCGAGAAGCGTGATTATAAGAAATAATCGCGCAATAATTGTCGTATTGTCAGTAGTAAAACACAATATTAGTCAGACACGGCAAATGTAAGCACACAAATATAAGCATATTAGTTGATAAAGTAATTTATTGTGTTATGTTTTTATTAACATAAAAAATCCTTTTCTAAAAAGGAGATGTGAAGTTTATTGTTGCCGCTTTTCCGCGATGCCGATTGGTTTTCTTGCTGCGCTTACTTCATTTGCAGCTGTCATTGTATATTTTGACAGTTGTGTATAATAGGGTTAATAGTGAAATGTTAAAGATAAATAGCGCGCGCGTAGCGCGCGTCTGTAGTGTCTAGTTAACATAAAAAATTAATCTGACAAAAATAAAAAATTGATCAGCTTATCATTAATAAAATTGTTATTTAAACAAGTATCACATTCTTCTAACGAAAAACATAAACGAATGTAGGCTTTAAAGATGCTAGGATCATTTAAACTCCTATAACTTCTAGTTATTTATTAAATTAAATAACATTTTGATAAGCAAAAATATATATGTATGATTAATTAAAAAAGATATCGAGATAACTAAAAACTTTTATATATACGTTAACCTGATATAGACGCATCTAAATAAAAAATGTTTACTATGACTTTATGGTGATTGGTTTATTATATTATTTAACGACGTACGTTTTATTATTTGCATTAAAGAGCTTTTATCAAACTTTGTGAAATTGCCGGTCGCACTAGCTAAGAGCATTAGCAGCGATCTGAAGGCGTTATGTCTAAACCGCGTCATGCAAGCGAGAACAGCAGCCATTTCACTATTTCTCTTGAGGATGCTTCTACCGGGCATATTGTCCGGCTACGACAATCAAGCTTCGATTTCCGACCCCGACCGCCATTTCGTGCGACATTTCGCTCTTAAACGCCGCTTTTGGAGCGAAATGGACTTTTCGCGGCCCGTTGCTTCCGCGACAAATCGCGCGCCGATCCCTGCCTCGTATCGACTATGCGAAACTGGCCAATTGCAAGGAAAATACGACAAGGCGACGAGAATCCTACGCTTTATCTGCCGTAAAACGAAAAAAGGGTGCGATTTTTGTTACTACATTTGCGTTAATTCAATAAAAACTACCGACAGCTTCAATTATTCAGATTTAATCGAGGATTTAGTAGATTATGAAATTTAAAGCAAAAGCGACATTAGTGTGCGGTGTTATAGCTATAAACTTTGAGTTTATTCTCATGCATTTTAATTATAATTAACACATATAAATATATTTATAAAAATTATATAGTCCAACATTATGCATAATAAATAATTATTTTTTTTTAGAGATTGTTATCTTATGTAACTACAATATAAAACTACAATGTAAAAGAGTACTTGATTCACCGTTAGAACTAACGGGAAATCACTGCCGCGCTGAGACAACTTCAAAAGTTATCGTTGTAATGTAAATAGAGAAAGAAAGTTTTGCGGTCGGTCAGCAAAAACAGTATATTGCTTTGCTCCCACGCGCGTTTCCCTGTGCACCCTATTTGTATTTTTTCATTTTTATCCAAATAACGTTTCTCTTTCGCGAGGGACGCGAGAAAACACGTTGGATTCTTTATTTTGTGAGAACGACTATTTTCCAAGCGTACTTTTCGTGGGAATAAAAATTGCGGATTTTACAAAGCTGAAAGAGGAAAATGCATCGCTGAATATAGAATGCGAGGGGAAAAAAAGATACGCGTAGCTGTCGTTTCAATAGCGGATGTATCTCGAAATTTCGGTCGAGTGCGTAAAATCACATGTATAACATAGATAACCTTCTAATAGTTATTTATGCTCATTTTCACATGGATTGTCGCTACGTTAAATATTTGTCGCAGTATTACTTATTAACGTTAATAAGTACTGCATTCGCAGTGCACAACACATGTATATTGCACGCGAGCGCAAATAACAGCCACAGCTGGCTAAAACGATTTTTTATTAAAACGCATGAAATGTATTTACGCGAGAAAGAGTTTATTAGTAAAATACCGCATATCAATATTTATGTCGATAAAATATATAATATTTAATTATCAATATCTATATTATATATTGTATACTACATTGTAATCAGATAGATATGAGTACGTGTGACTACGTCAGTATAGATTTTTTATATAGTCCCGTTTCGATGCCTTTTTCTTTAATTATTTCGATTCTTTCACACGCGGAAGCACGCGAATGACGAGGTACCGGCCAAACGGAACAAACCGAGAACGGACAATCGGTGAAACTTCTGGACGCCATTGTGCCGCAAGACAATCGACACTCCCGGGGTCTCCTTAGAAAGCATTGGCACAGCTCGATAGAATTCTTCCTCGAATTAGTTACGCCGGTGGAAGACTGGGCGTGCACGTCGGAAATTCGACGACGATACCGTGAAATTCCGACAGTGGCCCGCGGGATAATGCCCGGAATTTCGAATCGGACAATGGCGCGCGTCGAATCTTGGCAAATGACTTTGCGCCGCTACACTCGTAAACGGAATCCGCGACCGATCACTTTGAATCGGTATGCATCAGCGTGGAATTCACGCCTCGTTCGGAGCGAATGTACGCGAGACTCTTGGATCCATGTCATCTAGTTAAAACAACAAAGGTCTCACAGAACATTTCGCTCGATTTTAGTAATATTGATCTGCATACTGAGAAAAAAATATTTTGGATTTTAGTAAATATTAGTTTGCATACAACTGTGACTCTATTTATTAAAATAAAAAAAAAAAATTTTTTTTATTAGTATATTTTTTTCCCAGTAAATACACATATACTAATAAAAAGGAAAATTTTCTTCATTTTAGTAAATAGAGTCACAGTTATATGCAAACTAATATTTACTAAAATCCAAAACATTTTTTTCTCAGTGCAGTCTGTTTTGTTTCGAGAGATATTCGAATTTAAAACTTTCGATAGCCTCACTGCTATGACTAATAAAATAGCTCATTAATTGATACTAACATAATGTTTTTTTTTTATTTACAAACAAGTTTATAAATAAATAATAATAAATAATAATAAATTAATTAATAATAATAAGCAATAAAATATGCGATAACTTTAAATAGAATAGGTACAACAATAAAGTAGATTTTTCTTACAAAATATCAGGATTTCAACAGTCTTGTGACAAATGGTCCAAAACATTGTGGAAATTGTTATAGTAGAGTCAACCAATCTCTCCTATACAGAACACTTGTCCAAAAGCGGGACATAAGACGTCTAAAAGACGTCTTTTAGACGTCTTACTAAAAGATGGCTAAAAGACGTCTTATGTCCCCATTTGGGACATGGTGCTGTCTAGGCTCTTACGTTTTCACTTCGCGTTTATCAATCGAGGAAATCCCTTCTGTGTGTGTGTGTGTGTGTGTGTGTGTGTCGCACGCAACGCATGAGGATTACTTCATCATCGTTAAAAACAAGGAAGGCAAAGCGGATATACACGATACACGAAATAATGAATCTGTCTAGCGACAGTTAGTTAACTCATTTTCAGGGTTAATCTGACATTTTTTTCTCCCATTATTAGATTTTAGATCGACATTGTAAACAGGGCTTAAGTTTTCCGCTC